ATATATATANATATACATATATATATATATATATATATATATATATATATATATATAAAACTATGCTTTGTTAACTGGCTATGAATCTGAATCACGTTCAATTAATTATCGGAGATTTATCTCTTCTTCATTGAGTATAAATGATATATGATTATCTTATACCTTATGAAATTATATAATAATAAGTTTAATAATAAATAATTATAAAAAATAATTAAATTTGCAGAAAGAGCCGGTGGAGTTCGACACGTCGCATTTGCGCGGTGCACCGGCCGAGGTCGAGGCACTGGTGCACAATATCAAAGAAGTTGCACAACAGTTTCTTTACCATTGGAGAACATTCCCAATTATCCTTCCACCACCATTGTCTACGTGCACAGAAGGTGAAGATACATTGGCGAGAAAGAAACACCATTTGAAAGACCTCTTCGTTGCACCTAGTTTTGACGAATTGGATTCAGTAGCTGTAGATTGCAAGGGTGAGCCTAGGAGGTTGACCAAGAAACAACTAGAAAGCATTAGCAAACGAGGGTAGGTTTTTCTATTGTTATTAAACATTTATTTAAATATTTATCTTCATTTTGGTAGATAGCAGTAGTATCAGAATCTTAAACTCTCATTTCAAAAGCGTTTTTAATCTTGTAGTTGCAATATTTATCGAAAAAGTATAAGTTGAAAAATTTATATACGATAATAATGTAATAACAAGGGATGTTTGAAAAATTTTTTAATAGGAAATATTGATTTAAAAAATTGAATAATAAAAATTTTAAAAACAAATTTTCTAAAATTTTTAACTTTTGAATTTTATTGCAACACAAGATTTAATAATGTTTATTTTTAAATTGAATATGTTTTAAAATACAATATTGTAGCGATTATAATTCGTAGAATTAAATATTAGCAATTTCTTTGTGCACAATATATAAAAAGTCGCAAGTACTTACTAACAGATAATTGTTTTAAGGCTTGAATAAAACTCTTACTGATGCAAATGCTAGTTTTTTTTTTAAGATATAAGAAACATATGATATAAGATAGATAATTTTAGAAAATATGTAAAAGTCGTATGTGTATAATATGTATGCGTAATATGTAATTTATTGATCAAATTTCGAAAATAAAAAAAAATTTTTGTTTTTCAATTTACTATTAATTTATTAAAATATAAAATCGATACATATTATTCTACTATCGAATTGAAAAATTATATACAATTATTTTAATAAAATAAAAATAATATAAACTAAATTCCAAAGATGTTTTCAAGTTTTCAAGTCGTTTTCAAGAATAGAATCAAATCACTATTCTTTTGTTCTATACTAATATTTTCTAACAATTTTTGTAAAGCTTTCAGAAGGAGAAGTACGGAAAACCGAAGAAGCTGAATGCCACTCAATTGGAGAGCATTCGAAGATGCGGGTATGTCACACACCAGTGTCACACAATATGTTGACCAAAATGATCAAAAAGTTATCTTGTACAGTGACTTTGACAGAAATTTGAAGATAAAAATCATTTATATTTCATAATTATTTTTTTTAAATAAAATAAAAAAGATGTGTCTTTAAAAATCCAATCTTAAATACTACCATAAAACTTTAAAACATGGTCAGAAACAGCATGATCAGAAGTTCACTTTGAAAAAATTAACAATTAATCAATTAATTTCCATCGAATAATAATTAAATAAATAATATTAGATATTGTCGATTATAGAATCTATAGAAAAAAATTTATATTTGGTCTATGAAGAGATTTTATAAAAACAACACAACTTGTAACAATAATACTTAAACAATCACAGCATGAAATAAATTTTAAATGTTAAAAATATAATATATAGTGTAGATTGTATTATTTAATTTTTATAATGTATAAATTATGCTTGCATTATAGCATATATTATAGCACATTTTTATTAGTAGCTTTAGCTCTATAGATAAGGATAGAAAAAATAAGATTTTTTATACTGAATATTTATTAATAAGTGAATTAATAGATTTCACATAATTAGATGAACTGTAATGATGTAAAATAATTGGATTAATAATTAATTTTATTGGAATAACTCTCTATATTTTCCAGGATATTTTTGTTTTTTATTATATGTATATATATATATATATATATTAAATTGTTTTTTTATTTATAATATAGAGATAACATTCCGCTTTGGATTTTTTCGATATATTTTTTTTTTCTTTTCATTCTAAAACTGATTATATTCATATATGTTTTATTTTTCAGAGAATTCGAAGTAGATTCGATCAATTTCGCTGGACAAACACATCGATGGAGATTGAGCGGACTTCTTCAGCGTGGACGGGACAGAAGACGAGACGCATTACTTCGAGATCTCGCTTTGGCAACTAGATTTCTTGTAGTTACAGCAAAAGCTAGATTAATCTCCCATTGTTTCAGTGTATCGCAATCTCTGAAAGCATTAATAACGGGATTATTACGACTTCTTGGTAGATATTTATTAAGAAAGTTATTTGTAAAAATTCATGTTACAACAATATTGTTCAATTTTATTATATATTGTTTTAGATATAATAATTGGTGTGCCATCTCTTCAAGCACATAATTTAGATGCCAAAATTAGGGAGGAGCGATGTCGATACTTAGTTGCCGAATTAGTATGCAGGGTAAATTATTAATTATTAATTATTAATAATTATTAATTTAATAATTATTAATTATTAATAATTATTAATTTAATAATTATTAATGATATAATAAATAAATAATTAATAATTAATCAAGATAAAGCAAATTGTTCTTTTAAAAGTATTGTTATATTCAAAAAATATTTTAAGAAATCTTATTTTACAGCCTGAATATGAAGATTCTTTAGAACTTTTATGTGGTTTTGTACGAAAACAACTTCGACGTGCAACAATGGAAAAATTCGAAGTAGAAAGAGAACTATCACAACTATTGCCTATCCCGGTACCTTTCGTATTTGGAACTCCTGCCGGAGCAGTGGTTGATCTTAGATTATTTAGCAGAGACATTATCAAAAAAGCTTTACCGATTTTAGTTGCTATTTTGGAGAGAGAGACACGAGGCTGGTTTCTTCATTTCAGAGAAAGACTGATATCTGAATTGAGAGCGCGAAAAAAACCAGATGAAGAGATTGAAAGAGTATGTTTCATTTACGAAATTATTTTAAATATGTAATAAAATGTATTTTTCCTTTTATTAATCATAATTACGTTTAGGAGGTCAATGAAGCTGTTATGCGAGAATATTTACAACGAGTATTCTCTAACATTTTGTCGCACCCAGACATACTCGATCTTGGTAATGGAATCGCTCAATTATTGGTTCAACAAGCACAATCGGTCGTATTAATGCACCGAGCCGTAAAAACCGTGCAACGTAAATTGGTACAAACTAAAGAAACATTAAAATATCATATAGAAAATGAACATCCAGTTCTGTCGCGAATAGAACCGTGGATGCGCGATAGAATGAGGGAAGTCGAAGAAAAATTCATCGAAGAGTGCGAATGGAGTGCTCACGAAGAAGCTCTCACATTGTGCACTCACCAAAATTTGCAGCAGACAGTTTATTTTCTTAACCGTGATTTAACTTTTATGAAAGAGGTATTTAGATTTATTCTTATTAACATTTTTTATTTTTATATATGAATACATATTATATATTAAAAAATATTTTATGAATATTTATTTCTCTTAGCGAGAACCAGTTTTATTAAAAGAATTGCGCAAAGTTAAAACACCCACAAGAAGTTTTCAATGGCCAACTCAGATATGGTTTCCAAAAAATTGGATCATCAGACGTAATTTTCAGGGCCAGTCTGAAATTATACCAACAGTGCTAAGCAATACTCCAACATCTATTACTACACCTCGTGCAGATCCAAGTCAGCCTGTCTTCTTAGTGGAAAGAGAGATTGTACACACAACAACAACAAGGTAATTTTTTCTGATGTTAAATTTTATACAAAACTAATCCTATGAACTCCTATGAACAGATGGCCTATGTGGCGTTGGATTAATTACGTAGCTAGAACGTGGTGTTGGACATGGAATGCAATGTTTCTACTAGGCGTAGCAGTACCATGGTGTAGTCCAGTTTCCATACGAGCTTTACTACTCGTACAACCCTTTACTCCCGATCTAGAATTGAGTCAATTGAATGGAACATTGTTTCCCAGAAAATCATCTCAAATGCCTACTCTTTGCTCTCGATTGATAGCACTTTGGAGACATATTAGCAAAAGTCGGACACATTTTGAAACGGAACCGGATACTGGTAAATTAAATAAAAATAAATTAAATATGTATATTTCATTAAATATTATATTAAATATGTATATATGTTATATCATATGTTATATTCATAATCTCAGATTAATAATTTTATTTTTTTATGGCAGGATTTATTGGAAAAGGAATGACAAGGCATTTAAACAGATTATGGAATTATGGCATGAAAGGTCTTTTAGGAACACTTATTATATTATTTGTTTTTCCTGTCGTTTGTATAGTTACAAGTTTAGGATCACTTTTTATTGCACTTACTGCAATTTTATGGTTTGTTATTTATATTTATATTATATATCTAATATTTCTTAATTATGAAATATTAATAATTAAACTTCTTTTTTTTTTTTTTTAATTTTAGGATGCCTTTAATCACTTTAGCGTTACATGCATTCATGGCGCTTATAATGGATTTAGATAGTCCAGAGCCAAGTAGAAATCGATATTTTGTGATTATGGAAGCATTAGTTTGGAATATCGGAATACAAGGCTGTTTGCAACCAATTGCTGCATTAATTGTTGCTCTTATTTTATGTCCTATCATTTCTTTTGTGATACTTACAGGTATAGTAATATTTTCTTGATAAATTATGTAATTAATTTGATTTTCAATTCGTTTATTTAAAATATATTATCAAATAGTTGCTGTGATACGTTATTGGATTAGAGTGGTTTGGGACACGATTATGTTTCATTTAGTAATAAAAAATAGGGGTCGTATACCTGCCAGTGATAGTTTTGTCGTTAAAAGAATAGCTGGACCAGGATTAACTTCTGATTATTATTATCAAGTAAGTATCAAAAAGTATTTAAATTAAATTAAAATTAAGTATTAAACTTATAATCATTATTGCAAAAAATATTTGAAATAGTTATTATATTAATTATCATTATTTTCTACAGATTAGGCCTGAACAAGCATTAGCTGCATTCGAAGCAAAACTAGAGTTAGATGAATTGTTAGCCTTTCAACAAGAGATAGAACGATTAATTACACAACCACAAAGAGATTTTACTCAATTTGTAGAAGCCTGTTTTGGCCCATTTGCTGCTAGTCTTGCTAAAACAAAAGATCCATACAAATCATTGGAAAAAGAAGCCAAAGATCTAATTGCTGTATTACATGAAAAATTAGATAGACGTAGAAAAAATTTGCAAACTGGTCTTGGAATGGTTGTAAGAAGTAAAATAAAACTTACCACTTTTGATCTAAAGGTAATTGTTAAAATATCTTTCATTTCGAAAAATTTTTTAATCTTATAAATTTATAATTTTATTTTTAGGTAGTAATACAACAAGGAGCATTAATGTTAGAACGTCTTTATCCCAGTCATGTGTTTGCGAGATTGTCTGGGAATGAAGAAGATTTTTGGGAAAATAAAGGCTTAAGTGTTGGTGATTGGGCTGGTTTAGCTGGGCTTATGTACGCAGACATTTTCAGTTTAAATTTTCTTCAACCTCTCGATGATGCAGATACAAAATTTAGATTAGAAGCTCATCCAGGTGTCGATTTGTCGCGTTATACAGATATAGTTCATAGCACTGAAATTGGTGGTACCAATGGGCCAGATTTACTTGGCGCCGTTTATGCACCACGTGGAAATATACAAGTTTACAGTCCTTATTTAGAAGTTTCTGCTTTCAATCCACGAGCTAAACAGACTAGTAACAGCAGAAAATCTGATAAACGATGGTAAAAGATATTCTAAATTTTTATTTTAAAAATATTAAAATAAAATTTATTTAGAAAAAAAATATAAAAATCAATATGTAAAATAAAATTGAAAAATTTTCTTATGTTTTTAGTGATACCGGAGGACTTTTAACATCAACAAAAATCAGAAGACGCACAACATCTACAAATGGTACAACAGAGACACGTTGGCAACCGTGGAAACGGCAAATTCGTCCTTATAGTGCAGAAAAATTGCTCATTCCACTTCCGATTCCGCATCCAGCTCATATAGCTGTTACTATTCATAATCGTGATTCTGAAAATCCGATTCCGCTCGATTCGGAACTTTGTCAGAACATATTGAAAGCAATTGAAGAATCGCCCGGTGAAATGTCCACTGAATATGTTAGTCGTTATAGGGGGGCTGCAGATTCTAGTTTTGATTCAGTAGCTTCGCATTCTTCAGTTTCTATTGAAACTGGCTTAGATAAAGATAACGAAACACAGGAAACGACAAATACTGAAAAAGAGGGTGAAACTTATCATTGGACATTATCAAATTGGGGTGGTGGTATGACGAGAAGAAGAAATAATTCTGGATCTATAAAAGTTGATCTAGCATCTCCAGAAGACGTTACTCTGGATACAGATACCACCAGAGTGATGTTCAGTACATACGGAACAACTGTTTAAACTGAATTTACTGTTATATCAGGTAAATATATTATATACAATAGGTGCAAGTAGAAACAAATTATGCAGAAGTTTAGATTTAGATCTTTTATTTATTTAATTTTTAAAATCTGCATTTATTCGTTTGATTTTTATTACAAAAAAATATTAAGTCAAATCCTTTTTCATAAAAAAAAAATTATACTCTAAATTTATTTAAAAAAATAAACTTTATTTAAAAAATACAAAATAGAAATCATAAATTATATTATCATATTATAAATCATAAATTGCACTTCGGAATTTAATTCGAGAGATAAGACTAGTTAAAATTTTTTTTTTTTTTTTTTTTTTTTTTTTTNTTTTTTTTTTTTATA